AAGGGAGCTATGCATTGAAGACAATAGCTTGGATGCATGAGCGCCATTGAGGGCGCGACTGGGCCATGTCTGACAATGTCTCGAACCATTGACATGGCCCGTCTCGGGGTCCCCATGTCTGCCTTTCGTGCAGTGGGTTTATCTTTGACAGATGAGCAAGTATAACACGCTATCGATTGTTGATCAGGTGTCTGTCGTCCGTTCTTCAAGCTTGGCAATCGAATTGCAAAAGTTTCGTCACCATACTTGGAGACGTCGTCAGTGTGCAGTTTTATGGGTGAGCCATCTGGGTGTCTGCCACCTGGCGGATCGATTACTTCTGTCCCACGTCTTGTCTCGTAGGCTGTCTCCTATAAGCTGAAGGTTGATTTAAGGGACGTTTCCATTCAGTGGGTATTCTTGCCTGTGGTGAAACTGTTTTCTTTTATTGTCATTAAGCTGAACTGCCAGTCTTGTTGCCCCTAACGGTCGCATTCCCTGTTCGGGTTCAGTTCATCGTACAGTAAGTGGATGACTCTTCATTGTATGCTATTGTATCTTTGGGTGAATCCATCGGCGTGTCACCCAGTAGCTTTTTAGAACTGTTGATTATTTTTTTCTGGATGCGTTCCTGTGTTAGCACTGTGACAATGCGACGGCCCATCTGTCCCCCCCCTCTAATTTGCTTATGCAATACAGTTTTGCCTCTCGTGGTTATTCTCACCAACGGAGCTATCCATCAAGTTCGTGTGTCACTCTGCTTTTTAGTGTCCGAACTGTTCGCACAATTTACTTCAGTCGGTGGACTCTGTATGTTCGATTGTCAACCAACTTACTTGGCAAGCTCGTCAAATGATCGTGCGTTACGAATTGGGGTGGCTACATTGTGAAGACCCTGCATGTGGCCTGGTCACACGCTCCATTCATTGCCCACCCAGTACAGTGGGAGTGCATGGTGATTCGGATGGCCTCTGGGCACGTGGCGGTCGACCCTTGTGTCCTGGTTGTGGCGGTCAAGCGTTGTTGAAGCCGCATTATGCTGAAAGTCGGCTTTATCGACAGCTATGCTTCTTCCGTCATCTAGTCAATGAGACATCCAAATTGGCTTCAGAAAGTTAGTTTTGTTGTGCGCAATTTTCCATGCAAACTGCCGTCCTCTGTGTTATCCTCATCATTATTCTCGGCTTTGAGAATCGCGTACTTGTTGTACAGTGGTTGTAGCTGCCACCGTTTCGTTCACCGATGATTTGTGGAGGTGGGATAGGTAGCTGTGCATTGGAAGCGGGAGATGATAAATTGGTGCGTATATAAAAGACTGTCATTGGACTGTTAACTGAGGAAATGGGAATGTAGCCATGTATCGAAGGCAATGGCTTGGATGTCAGTTAGGGTCTCGAGCATCCGAGCGGTTTAGAACTCCTTGCTATTTCAGTTTTCGTTCCATGCCATATGTCTGAGCGTGATCCACGGTCAAATGGAATGAGTTTCGAAGCTACCTAATGTGTGTACATTTAGCACACCGAATAAACTCACCATGTTTACGCGCTATGAGCATTACTCGTTTGGTCCGTTTATTGCGTAAATCCGTGTACAAATCGCTGGTACACCATCTGATTGTTGTGACGCCAAAGTACTGATCGGCGCCAACGAGAGTGCCTGTGATCTGCTGTTAGCCGATTCACTCGTATTCAGCGCCCGAACACAGTTGCTTCCGTCCACAGGGACCAACGTATGCAACAGATAAGAGGTGGCTTCTTCTGAGAGGGACCTCACTATTAGAACACACTTTTAGGAGCCATGCAAAAGTAATATATTCTAGAAGTGATCGAGATCGATGGCTATGGCACCAGTTCAGTCGAACCGGTCGCCTGACCTGAACATGTAGACTTTTTTCAAGTCGATCAATGTCAAGCCAACTAAGATGCCGGTAATCTTTGTTGAGATACAAAATGCAGTCTGTGGCTGCTGTTGTGTTGAATTCGTGTTCATATCTGCATATCGAGAAACCACTATCTGGGTTATGGTCCCAATGCCCTGCCAACAATGGCGTTGTCGTCACAATCGACTAAGACTTGTGTCAAACACTTGGGTCTGCGGGCTGTTTACAACCGGTGCCATTAGAACCAGCATTGTAATCAGCTCCTCTGTTTGGGCAGCTGTGATTCGAGACACCCAAGAGGTCGACTCATCCTTGCACTGGAGACAGCTGAGCAAGAAACAGGCAGTAAGCAAGAGTATCGGATAATGGGGCGGTGGTGTCACTTTTTTTGGTCCACTGGAACATGAAACTCTCTTATTTAGTTAGCTGAGCCATTCAGCCTTGACATATGTCCTTTAGTACAGAGACAGTCTATTTGGTTTTAGGCTACCGATTTGTGGACATGTTGGTTGCGCAGCCTTGTTCAACTGCCTTTACTTCCTGATTACTTATATTTCTTTTAGTAGTATGGGTCTGGTTACATTTGTCTGTATTCCTCATCAGGCTACACAAACTCAGCCATTGACCGACTCCTTCGCCAAGCGCACGCACATTTTGACCGGCTTCTGTCTCATTCAGCATTTGCAATGGTCGACTTGCGGCAGCTGTTCTCTGGTTTACGAGCGACTCCAATCCACACGGGTCCCGGTGCTTGTTAGAACCTTCGCTACCGCGTGCTTTCGCCAATATTTTCCTACGAACTCATGGTATCGAGCTTTTACAGATGTATGCCTTTATACGTATGTTGTTTTTTTACAACAGAACACGATCCATATTTTTCTACCTTCAGTCTGTTTTTGATGCGTTTGACTTTGAGTCGCGGTGTTTGTCGACCTTCGAGTCCGTTGGAAATCTGAGATAGTATTCAACAGGATAGCCTGTAATACTTCAGATAACCGTGAGATCTCCCTAACTTTAGGTCTGTTATAGGTACAAAGACGTCGCAGTTTACGCGTCCATTTTGCCCCCTCTGTTGAATTTTTGGATAGGTAAGTCAGCATGTTTTCAAAACGGTTTGTCGCTTCTATGCATCGCGCCTGTAAAGTGCTGTAGCCAGATTCTGTCGGATCTTATGCCCAAACCTTATGCTTGCAAGTGAACTGATCGATGCAGTTTACCTGGACAAGTGCATAAGTTCCGGCGAACTGGCGAAAGATGGAATCACTTTTTGAATTGGGAGGCCAAAGTAGCTCCAACGTGACATCAGCGTAGAGTTTACAATGTGTCCTGTTTAACCGATCACAGACGTTGCCCCTACATGTGAAATACCTCGGACGTATATCTGCGTTTGACTGTTGTCGTCTCAGAAGCATTGTGCGTGTCCGGTGGGAACATACTTTTTTTGGTCCACTGGAACATGAAACTCTCTTATTTAGTTAGCTGAGCCATTCAGCCTTGACATATGTCCTTTAGTACAGAGACAGTCTATTTGGTTTTAGGCTACCGATTTGTGGACATGTTGGTTGCGCAGCCTTGTTCAACTGCCTTTACTTCCTGATTACTTATATTTCTTTTAGTAGTATGGGTCTGGTTACATTTGTCTGTATTCCTCATCAGGCTACACAAACTCAGCCATTGACCGACTCCTTCGCCAAGCGCACGCACATTTTGACCGGCTTCTGTCTCATTCAGCATTTGCAATGGTCGACTTGCGGCAGCTGTTCTCTGGTTTACGAGCGACTCCAATCCACACGGGTCCCGGTGCTTGTTAGAACCTTCGCTACCGCGTGCTTTCGCCAATATTTTCCTACGAACTCATGGTATCGAGCTTTTACAGATGTATGCCTTTATACGTATATTGTTTTTTACAACAGAACACGATCCATATTTTCTACCTCCAGTCTGTTTTTGATGCGTTTGACTGTGAGTCGCGGTGTTTGTGACCTTTGGGGTGAGTCAGTTGGAAATCTGAGATAGTATTCAACAGGATAGCCTGTAATACTTCAGATAACTGTGAGATCTCCCTAACTTTAGGTCTGTTATAGGTACAAAGACGTCGCAGTTTACGCGTCCATTTTGCCCCCTCTGTTGAATTTTCGGATAGGTAAGTCAGCATGTTTTCAAAACGGTTTGTCGCTTCTATGCATCGCGCCTGTAAAGTGCTGTCGGATCTTATGCCCAAACCTTATGCTTGCAAGTGAACTGATCGATGCAGTTTACCTGGACAAGTGCATAAGTTCCGGCGAACTGGCGAAAGATGGAATCACTTTTTGAATTGGGAGGCCAAAGTAGCTCCAACGTGACATCAGCGTAGAGTTTACAATGTGTCCTGTTTAACCGATCACAGACGTTGCCGCTACATGTGAAATACCTCGGAAGTATATCTGCGTTTGACTGTTGTCGTCTCAGAAACATTGTGCGTGTCCGGTGGGAACATATTGGCAATGCTGAGGTACACCAGCTGGTCTTCAAGACAGGTCATTCTCCTTCGATACTTTCCCTCGTAGATCCATCTTTGCTCGCCTTTGTATCAGATGGAGATGACCCATGGATCGTTAACCTGACGACGAATCATCAAGGCCTTGCCAGTCGCGTGGGTAACTGTCTCCCCGAATGGGGACCGATGGACAGGACAAGCCAATAGCTCTTAACCTGACAGATATGGCCTTGTCACGCAACCAACAGCGCTTTTGCACCAAAGCTATCGCGTTGCTGTGTAGCTCTCAATCGCTATTACACCAGCCAGACAGAACCATTCGTAGTCCCTCTCTTTGTGCCGAGGGTTGTTTAATGGTTGGTCTTCCCTTCGCCCTCGCAAAAGAAAGGAAGCGTCTTGGTCATCTGTTGTGTCCATCAGGAAGTTTCTTATCCATCCAATCTAGATGACGACCATGACGCTTATGGTCGATCACATCCTTGGCCGATGGTCCCGAATTCTCAGTTTCTTATCCATCCAATCTAGATGACGATAGTCCCGAATTCTTGATTGATGTTTACTTGTTTGGGTGTTACTAGCAGAATAAGCCCAGAAAATGTCCAGAAAGTTTCTCAGCTTCTTGATTCTGTACTCGGGGTAATGGAGTAAGTCGTCTTATTCCTATCGTTCATGAAAACGTCAGTAATTGAAAACATGCATGAGCAGTATGACAACCGTTCAGATCTTCCACAAGTGTTGTCTTCGGTAACTTTCAGCACTCGTGTTTTGTCAAATGATCGTTTCAACTTTCTGAGGCAAACCAGTCGCGCACATTTATCTTATTCGCAGGGTCACGTGGCTCTCAGCGATCACGATCGACCGTTTTTTCGGATCGATCAATAGTTGGTAGCCTGCGGTCTGTTGTGGATCATATTCTGGATTTGTCTTTTTTCCATATTTCCGACCATTTGAATGGAAAGTTTCCTCGCAAACCATTGAACTAGTGTGCGGCGGCCCTAAATGAGGTAGCGTCTGTGGAAGTCCCCGCCTGTTGAGTTGCTCCATATGTCCCACGACGGACTTTTCCAGGCCTGCAGTGACCCCCAACTGGACCAACCTAATGGAGTATTCAGTCGAACGGATCAGTTTGCTCACTCCGTTCCATCCTCTGCGGGCGGTTCCGACTTTCCACGGACAGATTACGTCGTAGAAGCCTTAATGAACTCCCCATGGGTTCAGCAATATCGGTCAAAATGTGCCGAAATGGGCCGAGGGTTCGTTTGCCACGAAACTTTTAGGCCATCTAGCAGTCGTGCAGTACGTTTTCCCTCCATGGGTCGAAAGTTGGCTACCTTTCTTCGTGGAGCATTCAAAAAACCTCCCGAGAATTCGATCCCAAACGGATGCCGATCTCCCTGCTTTAGGACTGAATTAATTGGAAACATTTCTGCAAAAGATCCACCCAAACCTCATAGATATACACCGTCAGAACCTCAAACTGGACGAAAAAAGACGGATTTCGGATCTTCACGCCCAGTAACAACCATGAGTAAGCGACATAAATCCTCACATCTTTTATCTATACGCCATTCCGGGAATCGCTCGGTGGATCAATTCACGAAATGCACGGTCTCTTCGGTCAACCAGTCTCGTGCTTGTTCCTCAGTTCCGTTGGACCAATGTAACTCTCAAAATTCGACTCCAACACCTCGGCCTTCTGCTCTTATCACTGACAGACCACAAAGCGAAAAATCTCGGGAAGGTACCGCGAAACGTACGCGTTTCTCGCTACATCCATCAACATGTAACGCGCCGCCGGACCTCATCCGTCCGAGACGTGATAGCGAGGACACTGCAGCATCTATTTCCTCTACTGTGAATCCCTCAAGCAAGTCCGGCGAATTACATTCATCAACAATGCGGGTTGATAAAAGTACCCCTTCCATTGGGTCAAATACAAAAGCGGTGAGCAAATCACAAATGGGAAATTCCAGCTTGAGGACGGGAACCGATTCTTGTCTACTGGCGAAGTCTGTGTCGTTGAAATCGTCTCTCAAACAGCAAACAAATCCACCTGGGTCAGTCACCGCTGCAACCGTCTTCGAACCTAATAGCTCGGCTGCACTACTTGATCCGCCTACGCATGACTCACTCCCATTCCGAGGTGTTACCTCAACCACAAACCAGAAAACATGTTCTGGCCAGACCCGTCGAGTTCATACCCCGATAGTGATGGTTACGCCCACCAGGTCCAAGCAAACATGCCATGCGAGTTCACAGCCTGTGACCGGTAAATCAGCGGAGCGTAAACATGTGTCGTTTGAAGTGGATGGCTACCATTCTCTACCAGCATCACCGCTGTTGCATAGCACACCTCGACCTTCGCCACAGACACCGGACCAGGCTGAAGGTGAATCCCATTTATCACCAATAGAAAGGGCGACTGACCAGAGGTCGACGTCATCTTTTGGTCGGGGAGTAATTGCTAGGCCGTCCCGCCCCCGGTCGAGACGCTGTTCAACATTCCCTACAGCTCTTCACGTCCACCACTGTGTTCGACATAGTATCCCACCTCGTTTCAGGCGCTATCGTAAGCTTATTGCTGATCTCAATCAAATTTATCGGAACTACGCTGCACCCTACGAGATCACACGTGAAATTGTGGATGAAACGTGTCAGCGTCAGTTGGCAACAATCGTCAAGGCGATGTTCCGTTCACCTGATGTGTTTGATGCCCGTCGAGTTAGTGCTAGAAAGTGTCGGAGAGAGACGTGGAAACGATGGTATGCCCGTACAAAGCAGGTTGATTCGGACATCACGCGCAATGAAATGGCAGTAACCAGTCCGAAGTCTACTTATGGCCTTACTCAGAGTGAGTCTCCAAAGTCAAATCTGAGTCCCTCAGATAGGTTCCCTTCCGAGATCCTCTCAGTCGATGAACCAATCAAAACGGAAGAGTGCATTCCCCCTGCAAACTCCAAGAGATCATATGAAAATTTGGACATTATACCGACAAAGGATGTGCAGTCGGCTCGTGTGCGGTGCACTTCCGTGGTTGAAAGACAGATTCAAACAACTGATGTATTTACTTCTCGGCTTTTGAGCCTTGACAGCAAATCGCCTTCTAGCATACCTGTTGAATCTTTGAGTGATTCGCAATTAACAACCTTTGATACGCCCGTTAGTTTAGAACAGAAAGAAACGTTAAACTTGGCCCCCGAGGTGTTTTCAATGGGCGACGCACAACCGTATCCTTCAAGGGTACATGGCAATGAAGGTTACTCAAAAGCCGAGACACCGAGAATTATCACCCCTGTTTTATGTCTTTCAGAACAAGGTTCTTGTTGCAATGAAAACAAAACAACTAAATCAACGACTGTCAGCTCGGAACGAGACGAAACGGACCAACTGATGCTCCTCCAGTGTAGACGTGACATTACTTCAGGGGATTACGCAACTGCCCGATCGGTATTTCATTCTCCGATTCCGACAAATGTGGAGTCACCTCATGCTGGGGTGTCATCGTTCCTCACAGAACCCGTGGTAGTACAAACTTCCGTCAGTCCCGTTTCGGTCGACCAGTCTGGCTCGAAATCACAGTTCTGTAGCGTGCAACCACTTGGTCAATCGTGCTTGTGGAATTTGATCCCGCATTCCGTACTCGAAATACCCTCGATTTCAGAAGGTAGTGGAAAGAATAAAAGCCAAGAAACGCAGGTCAGTGATGGGCAGCTGCTCGCATGTTCTCAGTCCAGCACTCTGAAATCTGCCGTTGTCGATTCTTTGTCAGTTTGTTTATCTAAACTGGGTGTTACTCATACCGAGGTCAACACGGATGTGACCGGACTGAGTGAATGTAGTTTAAGTCCTCTAAGCACCACTGAGGACGGTTCACATATTCCTTGGACTAGGGCAAAAATTGTCGTGCTTCGTGACCCTGCGCAAACTGTAGATCAAGGTAATCCGACTGCAACTGCCCTCTTGTTCCGATGTCACGTAAGCGATGCAGCCGTACAAACAGATCCCGTTGGAGATGGCGAGTTGAGTAGTCTGTCCCTATCCACCTTACCGACCATGCCAAGCCAGAATTTCGGCCCGGATATAAATGGAGCCTGTTCCTCACCAATGCATCCTGAATTCGATGCACTGTTTGCCAATACTGGTCCGTCTCGACTCGATCCGAACAAGAAATACTCTACTCAAGTTGGTGTTCAGACGGAGTGTGCATCTGATGGAGAATCTGGCAGTGTCCAACTCATTACCAGCTCGTCCATCATTCCAGACGACAATGTCATCACCGCAGTGATGACTGATTCACACAGGGACTTTTGGAATCAGTCAGTTCCGTTGGACAAACCGTCTAGGGCAACACCTCATAATTGCCTACTGAGGATTCCAGAAGATGACAGAAGCTTTCGCAAGCGGTCCTTCATCAAGAAAGCCGGAATTTCGCCCCAACATGACAGAGTGAAATTGCGGGGGCGGTTGCGTCCGATTTCTCAGAACTCTAAGAGCTCATACGCTGATTCTTCAGAAGTGGATTGTGTTACTGAATATGGTCTTGCCGAAGATCACCCTTATTCTAGACGAACAAAACACTCGTCTTCAGTTGTGGCACGCAGAACGACTTTTACGAAAGATGTTGACGCAAGCAGTGGAGACAATATACGAATTAGGATACCTCCTGGACGAAACGTAGACCCTCTACTGCGGTCCAGACAGTTTTGCAGAGGAAAACAAAAGCGAACGTTTACCTACCCAAGTAAGGATACCGATGCCAGCGATGCTGATGCCAGTTCTTCGTTAAGTTCTCCGACGGACTTATACTCTAGCTTGAACAACGACAGCAAGCAAGGTTGTTACAAGTCAGAGCTGACACAATCGCAAACGGTCAGACGTAGGTCATCAGCTTGCTCCCAAGATGGCATCAGTGCTTCTGTGGAATTCTGTGGAATTCCCACACGGAAGTCATCTGTTTCTCATCAATGCCATACCCCACTTCATAGTATCACGTCGTCCTCCAGTTTGAAACGCCACTCCTCAGTTCCTCAGATATCACGATATCCTAGTACTCGATCGAGCTGGGCCCCAGTTACACCCTTCCAAAATCCTTTTACATCTGTTGACAAAATGAGGACCCGTTCGCTTGCTCGACTCCATCATTCTCGTGCTGATACCACAAGCCGCACCTCAATGTCCGGCGCTACAGTACAAAAGTCCAAAAGCTGGCGATCAACTTCCACATTATCCGATAATTGTGGCTATGTCCGTCGATCCGGATCTTCTCTTTCCTCAACTGGTCTACAACCCAAACCATGCCACCATCAATTTGTGGATCATTCATCCACATCCATACAACAACGTAGAAAGAACCCTTCTAGCTGTCGAAAGTTTTCCAATCCGCCCCGCACGATTGCCAATACCGTTGATGGTGGTTTGCGGAACGGCCATTTTGTGAAACAACGCCGAGTCGGTTTGTCGCATACACAACCCCTTTTGCCTGTTTCGGTTGGCTGGCATAGAATGGCACCGATCTTGACATCACCGTTGGGACGTTCGGTAGATGACAGTCTACTGCGCCACACGTTTGCCTCCTTGCAAAAAGTCCGATCGAAGGTCTCACTCCAAACGATCGGTCCGAATCGACCACCCATGGTGTTCAAACGCTAGCTTGTCGCATCGCTTCAGGTGCATCTGTCTCTCTCGTAGAATATAATTCACTATCCGATGTGTACAGCTCATCATGTTGTTATCATGTGGTACGTTCGTCAGGACAATCAGCTGCCGGCTATTGTCAACGGTCACACTACTAGCTAGAGTGAACAATTCTGGTTTGCGAAATACACTCATTTGCAAACTAATTTGGTTTTGCGAGAGACTCACCTGGAACCCAGCTGAATCTCTCGCTTGTGATATTTCACGTAGAACATAAGGTTGACGGAAACTCGGGGACCGCGCCTACCTGGTGAGCCCGAAGTTGAAGGGCGAAACCGGCCATGGGCTGTCGAGGTGTTTTCAGCAACCTTATGAGTAGTGCATTACAAATTCTGGTTTGGTCTTAGCAAGCCATTGGTCTGTTACGAGTAAAGCGGGAATCAGTGTGTGATTCGGGGGTCTGTGCTTTGGTTACTTCATATAATGTTCATTTATTGGTCTATTGAGATGCAGTGATAGTGTTTGGAAAAGTCGTAGATACATAGGTAACTCCCGAATCGTTTTTCACACTACCTCAGTTCCATCATTGTTTATTTCCGAATGGTTTATATGAGTACACAACGGTAAAAGAAAGATCACAACAAATTAGCTTATAATAGCAGCCAATTTTTCTAGCGGGTTTTTCCGATGAAATCCGGTTAGTTTGTGGTACTTGCAAACAAGCTGCGACCTCTCTCCCTGTGAGAAAAAAGGGAACTACGCCAGTCTGCAGAACCGACAGGCTCATATTCTCTGTACGAATTTGATACTTAACCACTTTGTCAGCAGTATGAGATTCATCATCATCCTCAGCTTTAAGGACCGCGTACTTGTCGTACAGTGGGTGTACCTTGCACAGTTTCTTTCGCCGATGATTTTGGGAGGTGGGGTAGATAGCTGCGCATTGGAGGCGGGAGCTGATAAATTAGTGCGTAAATACAGCACTGTACAGCTGTTGCATTCTTATTGGGAATCAATGAAAGTGATCAGCTGTAGCACCCTTCCGGTGCCTAGCTGGCATGCTACCCGAACGAAGCACAAGGGCTGGGATACTGCCAGGTTGCCTAAGCCTAGACAGGGGAAGTCCAGGGGCGGAGGTAGGATTCGAACTACGGACCTTCCGGTCAGTAAATTCGCGCTCTTACCGCTTAGGCCATCTCGCCCCAGTGCGCATCTCACGAAATTCAAGGGAGCTTCGTAACTTTGACCTCCCGGCCATTGGAACACTTAACCGTACGGTCCCAATTGGCCGATCAACAAGGTGATTAACTCGCATTTAGATGGGACATAGCGCCGCGCATCCTTCAATCACAGAAGCCCCATCCCGTGGTCACGTGTTGACCGGCTCCCAGACTGATGACTTCTCAGAAGGTCTGTGTGTCTTTGAAATTATCCCTCCTAATCTGCCGGTCTGCGGGCATTCCGTTAGACTTGTTTTCATTAAAGAAAGTCGGTTCATTGAAGTACACTGAATAAGTTTCGCCAGCGGTTGATGGGAAAATGGGATGAGTTCGGTCAGAACATAGATTACTGACATGGCGCTGACCACAAAGTGAGCAAGATCGAGCACCGCCTGCATAGTATTCACCTTAGAAGTTGTAGGACTTTTCTGTGTTGTACGATAAACAGTGGAATTCATTCGATAAGGATGGCATGTCATCGATAACAGCAAAATTAACTGTAGTCGGATGTTACTGATTCTGCCTTGGTGAGGCCGGTCTCTGAGGATTGCTCTCTTGGGATGTTCCCTTCATAGAAAAACATACTAATATACGTAGTATGTACTATTTAGCGTGTTAGTTGTGTATCAATAGCTACGTAACGATGTGATAAAATGAGTACTTTGGTCATGCAGCAGCCTTGCTGGTCGTGCTTAGTTGTACGGATGGAACAGAGTACAGCCATCAAGATTAGTTGGTTTTTCATAATCGCACCTCGACCAGTCTGTCAGAAAACCGAATGGTATAGGTAAATCCTCGTTTTCACCACTCTTCTGTCTACACACACTGGGACTTTATTTTCTTCATTCTCTTTGAGTTGCGAATCGTACGTAGTTGAGAACGCATCCCATATTCCGATTTCGTTTTTTTTCAGTGGAAAATATGAGTGCCTTTCGGTTGAATAAGTGTGTTCCAATAAACTCAGAAAACTGACGTGACTTGGCGTGAAAAGTGTAGTGGTACTTTTCCCTGATGTTCGTTGAAAACCCTTCAATCGACCGGTTTCGCCCTTCTTGGGGCTCATCAATTACGCGCAGCCCCCGAGTTTCCGTCAATCTTATGATCTACTTGAACCCAAATTGGACTGTTTTCGACAAGTACACTCATTTGCAGATCAATTCGGTTTTCACGAGAGAATCAGCTGAATCTCTCGTTTATTGTATTTTACAACTGAGTGTGTTGCACACAGGCCGCCTCGTGTTTCAGTTGGAACGATATTCGAGATATCGCAGTATATTTTCACAAGGAAAACTACTCACAAGTTTGCTGAACACTTCGACGGCCCACCACCGGTTTTGCCCTTCTTAGGGCTCATCGGGTAGGCGCAGTCCCTGAGTATCCGTCAACTTCTTGGACCGAAGTTGGACAGATTTCGACAAATACTCTTTTTCATACCAACTGTGGCATGAGGCAGTCTTTGCACAGTCATTCGGTTGAGTCTCCGGTGAAAACCAAGTCGATACGCAAATGGGGTTATTGATCGAAATCAATCTCCACTTTAGGTTCAAGTTAGAACATAAGGTTGGCGGTGGGGACTGCGTCTACCTGATGAGCCCAGGAAAGGCGAAGCCGTATGTGGGCTGTAGAAGAGCTCTCGTACCCCTCCGAATGGCTTACTCTGTGAGAATATATTGCCATATCTTAAATATCGTACCAACTGAAACATGATGCGGCTTTTGTACCGCACATTCAGTTGAAGAGATTCGTCGGGAATTCGGTCAAGCTTCCCATCACTACCGGGTTCGTTTGCAAGTATGTGTACTTCGTTTTTTTTGTTATCGTTCGGTACGACTGTTGATGCCCAGTGGTCCCCATCTTAAACTTTCGTGAGCTGATTGACTGCTGTATGGAGTAATGCCGAAAGTCAACAACACCATAATACTAGATGAGTTGACTGATGATGAAAGCATGTCGATTCATTTGAGTGTAGCTCCCTGATACTAGTAACCATACTATTCGAGGAAAATGCGTCCACCGCTAGCCTACCACGGCAGTCCGAGCTGCCTACGTCTCCAAACACTTGCCTAGACAATACCATCAATCAATCGGACGACTACTGTATCGCAGGTCATCTGTAGTCATGCATGGATGACTCAGTGATTGGAGGAGTGAACTTACTGACCAGAAGATCCGTGGTTCGAACCCGACCCCACCTTCTCGACTGCTCCTGTTTAAGCTCGGGCAACCTGACAATGTCTCATCCTTACTGGTTCCTTCGGGTGACGTGGTAGCTAGGCACCGAAAGGCGAACGGTTGTACTATCCATCGAATGAGTACATTAGCTAATTTGGCGCAAAAAAGGAAAACCCACCCTATGCAACGCCTGAATAAATCACTCTGGCGTTGGTTTCTGATAACCTCGTTGCGGTATTCGGGAGAAATAACTCACCCTCGATAGATGAACTGATCACACTGCACAGGTTGCGTTGGCTTGGCCACGTGCTGCGTATGCCAGTCGACC